CCCCAAAACCCCAAAACCCCAAAACCCCGTAATATTGAGTTCTTATCCTTTAATTAAAAAAATATTTATTTAATTAATGAAAATCAATATTATACTCTTTTGTACATCTTTTCTATAAAAGCCTTTTTCTAGTCAGCATAATCAAGATCATCTGTCAATAGCACATTATCTATAAGAAAAGATTTGTGATTTTCCTCTACTATCACCTAAATCCCATTAATGTTCCCTATAATATGTGCATTTTGATGCCTCGAAGGTGAAAAATCTCTATTCTTCTCTCTTAATTGCAATGATTATCTTGCTGTTACTTAGATATTATCGAAGTCATTTTACTATTTCATCACATCAATTTGTCTAGATCTAATTTTTCCAAATTCCTTCTCATCTTCACCATATAAAACTATTTCTTCGTAAGCAGTCTCTTATTTTTCCTATTTCATCTCATAAACCCTGTAATTTCTTGGCTCTATTTCTTTTTACTTAACTAAATATGTTGGACCTACTATATTCCAACCATTTAGAAACTCCTCATTTACAATTATCTCTTGATCAATTTGTACTTTATAAGTTCTATTCTAGTAAATTGAAATTCTTATTAAGTGAGGTTCAAACAGATTCTTCAGGTTTTATCTTGGAGCTCTCACATTTCTTAGCCATTATAAGTTTTTTTCTTCATAGTTAAGATCAATACTCAGAGTTTAAAAGCTGCCACATAATTGAAGTTTAACTTAGAGAGGTAGTTTTTTCTCCGGCTGAATCTCATTAAGAGAAAAATCATCTTTAATTAGAGAAAGCCTAAGCACAGAGCAATCTATGAGATCTTAGTATCTGTAATTGAATTGAAAGATCATATCATTTTTAGAATTAGAGAAAGATTTTTCAAACTTTGTTTGAACTAGATAAAGGCTCTGCTCATTTTCAGTCTTAGTGGTTATTCCTCCTCCTACTTCATAATTATCAATTAAAGTTCCTGGCATCATTTTGAATAGCTTTATTTACTAGTCAACTTATGAATAAGGGTATACCCATTTACTTCTATCACTAAATTCATCATAAAATATGTAACTAAGTGAAACCCTAAACTGAATAGAGAGAATTACGATACTTATTACTAAATTTTTCATTTTAAATTTCAAACAATTATTGTATTAGAACAACTGATTTACTGATAACGGGGTTTTGGGGTTTTGGGG